ACCCAAGAATATTTGAGTTTTTAGCTACTCATAATTATACAAATAACAACAATAAAAATCTTTAAACATAATATACGTAAATACTAAGAGAAGGTTTAGAAAAACTCTTTCAATCTTTGCTCCAAGTTGATGTTCCTATTGATTTTTGATAGTTGAAGATGAGTTTCCTCCTCCTTCTCTCTCTAAAAATCAGATCTTCCACTCTCCATCTGCTTAACTCCAATAATGGAGTTCTTGCTTTATGTAAATTGAGTGGGATTAAGAAGAAATTCCAATTTTACCCCTTTAAACAACCTTTCCCGAAATCTGGACTAGCGCGGCCGCGCATCTGGCCGCGCACCTGACCGCGCTAGTCCAGTTGTCCCATATTCTTGATTCTTTTCTTGTTCTTCCACCATAATTAATTCCGAGGGGTTTTTCATTTATTGCTCCAAAATGGTTCCAATCATATTTGATTTACGTAATATACTCTTCTTTACCTGAAATGTATTCAATTCACTATTAAAGCCCATAATTCATCAATTAATCACAATATATCATTGGAATATCATCAAGCAGAAGCATAAACAATAGCTAAATCACCCAGATTTCGCTTATTATCAATGACCTTCTCTGTTCTAATTGTCACTGCTTTTTCCGCCATTTTTGTATGCCCCTACGATATACTCTGGCACCTTTGTTCTGAATATTGCCTCGCATACCTTTCTCTAGTTAGCATTTTGTTTGGTTAAGAAGTATTTAAGGTTTTGTCATTTTCCATGCCAAGTTAGGTGCAGATCCCTTGTACAAGTGTAAGTCCATGAGATTAATTTCGAAATTATTTAATGATTGTTGGTCACCTAGAATGAGGGAGTGGAGGTATGGCTTTAACTGGGAAGTGTAATGGCCCTCGCTTAATTAATTTTTAATCCTTAGAAATTGAGGCATGCCATTTAGTTGAATTCCTATGGCCCTCGCAAACTTGAAAGTGCGTAGTTGCTTTAGGTACGACATTTTAATAATTTACCTTCCTAAACTCAGGTGCGCATTTATGTGACCCAAATTCAAAACTCAACAATGTTATATAAAGTGTGTTGCGAACTCTGGGTACATTTATGTGATGTGGTTCAAGATATATTTTAAATGACGTTGCAAATCTTTCTTTAAATATGGTTAAAAGTGGTTTAAAGTTAAAATGCACATAGGTTAAAACATGTAATAAAAATCAGATAATTGAGCCAGTAATAACAGTTGAGCGACCGTGCTAGAACCACGGAATCCAGAAATACCTAACACCTTCTCCCGGGTTAACAGAATTCCTTACCCGGATTTTGTATTCGCGGACTGTAATACAGAGTCAATCTTTTCCTCGATTCGGGATTTGAACCGGTGACTTGGGACACCATAAAATTATCTCAAGTGGCGATTCTGAATTTAATAAATAAATAATCTCGTTTCGATTGTCACTTTAAGTTGAAAAAAACTCCCTTATATACCCCTTCACGGGAGTGTAGGAAAAAAGAGGTGTGACAGCAGCTCGTAAACAAAATGTTTGAAAAGAAAATAGGTCAAACCATGGAAGTTTACATAAATGATATGCTAGTTAAGTCTTTGAACGCAAATGATCATCTTAAACACCTGCAAGAAACCTTTGACATCCTAAGGAAGCACAACATGAAGCTCAACCCCGAGAAGTGTGCATTCGGAGTTTGTCCCGATAAGTTCTTGTGATTCCTGGTGTGGCAAAAGGGTATCGAAGTTAATCCCGATAAAATGAAAGCCATCGAAGACATCCCTGACCAACTATCAAGTGTAAAAGTGGTTCAAAGTTTGACAATAATATTGGCAGCTTTAAGCAGGTTCATTTCCTAGTCTTCAGAAAAATGTCATCGCTTCTTTTCACTCCTCAAAAAGAAGAACAACTTCAAATGGACTCTGGAATGTCGGCAAGCTCTAAAGGATTTGAAAAGGTATTTATCGAGTCCTCCAATACTATCAAAACCAGAGGAAGGCGAACAACTGCTGATCTGCTTATCGGTCTTGGATGTAGCGGTAAGTGTCGTTCTAGTCCATGAGAACGAAGGTATGCAATCTCCTATCTATTATGTTAGTAAAATTTTAATAGGAGCAGAAACTCGCTATCCACATCTGGAAAAATTGGCCTTAACTCTAGTAGTCGCTGCTCGAAAGCTTAGGCCTTATTTCCAATGTCATCCGATAGCCATGGTAACCACTTTTCCCCTGCGGAATATCCTTCATAAACCTGAACTTTCAGATAGGCTGGACAAGTGTATAGTCGAAATGAGTGAATTTGACATAGAGTATAAACCTAGGACTGCGATTAAGTCACAAGTTTAGGCCGACTTTATGGCCAATTTCAGCCCGGGACTGTTACCTTTAGCTACCAAAGAAGTAGTTATGGTGTCATAGTCGACATCAGGAGTTTGGACATTGTTCATGGATGGAGCTTCCAACGTGAAAGGGTCCGGGTTCGGTGTAGTGCTAATCATGCCCTGGGGGGAAACCCTAAGGCAGGCTATAAGAACTGTGCCTCTTACTAACAATGAAGCAGAGTATAAAGCTTTGGTTGCAAGACTTGAGTTGGCCTGAGGATTGGATTCCGAGGTCTTAGAAATCAAATGCGATTCCCAATTGGTAGTAAATTAGGTCTAAGGGATCTTCGAAGCCAAAGTGGATCGCATGCAAAAATATGTAGTGAAAGCCAGGCTCTGCTTGCACGGTTCAGGGAATGGTTAATTACCCACATCCCGAGAGAAAAAAACACAGAGGTAGATGCACTAGCCAATCTGGTATCGTCCACGGAAATGAAGGGATCAGACTCCGATATGGTCATGCAGCTTATGCATTCGATATTGGACGCAGATGACTATTATGAAGTAAACGCGACGAATTTGGTCTGGGACTGGAGAAATGAGATCATTGACTATCTCGAGCATGAAAAACTGCCTGAAGATGCCAATGCATCTTGGGCGCTACGCACTAAAGTAGCTCGATACAACTTCAAGGGAGGTCAATTGTATAGTTCTTTCCAAGGCCTGTTGGCCCAATGTTGGGGAGCTTCCAAAGCTAACTATGTCATGATAGAAGTCTACGAAAGGATCTACAGAAATCACTCGGGTGCGGATTCCTTAGTGTTAAAGTTAATTAGAGCAGGATACTACTGGTCCCCGATGGAACAAGACACTAAGACTTATGTATAGAAATGCGATAAGTATCAAAGCCATGCACTGTTGGTACATCAACTAGTAGAGCTACTGCACTCCGTTTTGTCGCCTTGGCCATTCATGAATGGGGAATGTATATAGTCGGTCTGCTCCGCCAGCCCCCAGTAAGGTTAGATTTCTTTTGATTTTAACTGACTGTTTTTCTAATTGGGTTGAAGCAGGAAATCGGTGAGCGCGAAGTGTTAGATTCCTTATGGGAGAATATTGTTTGCAGATTGTGATACTAAAAGAGATGGCCTACGACAACGGGCCATAATTTATAGGCGCAAAGGTCACTAAAGTCCTTGAAGATTTGAAAATCAAAAGGATCACATCATCACCCTATCACCTGAGCGCAAACGGTCAAGCAGAATCAACAAACAAGGTGATTATCCAAAATCTCAAAAAGATATTGGAAGCAACCAAAGGCAAATGGCCCGAAAAGCTACCAAGAGTACTATGGATGTATAAAACAATGGCCAAATCAAGCATGGGGGAGACTCTTTTATCTTTTGTATATAGAGTAGAAGCCTTGATCTCGGTGGAAGTAGGAGAACCTATCTTGAAATATTTTCGGGTGGACGAAGAAACAAACAACGAAGCATTGTTGGTCAAATTGGAGCTGCTCGATGAATGCAGGGACTTGGCGCACATAAGGATGGCAGCCCAAAAACAAAGAATGAAAATATATTACACTCAAGGAGTCAACCTCCGTTATTTCAAAGTAGAAGACTTGGTTTTAAGAAAAGTAACTTAGAAGGCCCCTACCGGGTTTCAGTTATCACTAGGAAAGTGTCATACGAATTGGAAAATCAAGAGGGAGTAAAATTGTCGAGCAACTAGAATGTGGCACATCTCAAAAGGTTTTTAACGAGGAAGCAACGAAAAGCATACTACGAAGGAAGCTTCGTTAGTAGAAATAAGACCTTTAAATGACAAGACATGCAGACAACGAGCCATTACAGAGCGGTTAGATAGTCTTTTTCTCGGTAGCAAAGTTTCTACCGGGAAGTAAAATTTGCTATCGAGCCAAAGATTACCCGACCGTTCACGAGTTCAAGACACTGGGGGATTGTTAGATAATCTTTGGCTCAATAGCAAAGTTCCTAAGGGAAAATGAAGCTTGTTATCAAACTAAAGATTATCCAACCATTCACTAGTGGAGACTTCCAGTGTTCAAATTCGCATTATTCGTATTCAAACACCGAGGGGATGATATGAGAATACGACATTGATTGACACATCTACTAGGACTACGAAATCCGGAAACAAAGTTTTATCATCGGGACATTGCGCAACCAGCCCCGTAGAAACAAGTTGTACAATTTAGCCACAAGTAATGGCAATTTATTTTTAGCACACCGAATACTTATGTACTTTTGAAAATGGAATGAATAAAGTAAATTCCTTTTATTTTTATCCTTTTTATTGTCCCATCGATGAGTTAATTTTATCATATGAAAGTTAAACAAGTACTTCAAATGCTAGTGGCATAATGAACAGGAGACGTCCTCTTCAAGAGCACCATAAACCTAATAGGGCCCTCTCTTATGAAACCCTCATGGTAAAGGGTTAATTTAGGAAGAACTTATGCCCAGAATTCAAATGCTATCGGAGAAAAATACACCCGAAGCTCGCATAACTCGACGCAAAAAGTAAAATTTGCGCAATACTTAAACGAAAACTACGCAAAGAGAAAAACTTGCACAATACTTAAACGAAAAAAAATACTTCTATATACAACAAACGTGCCAAGCAGCACAAGTACAAACATATGGAAAATAAAAACAAAGTGAAAAGAAAGAAAAAAGCTCTGCTACTGCATCCCCGGAATTGGAGGAAGAAAAATATCTACACCCCCAGAAGAAGTAGGAGGATCCGCCGCCGGATCAAGATCTTGGCCTTCCATCATCCCCTTCGGGTTCTTCTTCAGTTCCCGAGAACTCAGAACCAGAACCAAAAGATTAAGTAGCATCAGGTTGGACCGAGAGACCCCTTCGGGCAGTCGACTCCAGCTCACGAGCCTTGGCGATTGCGGCATCAAATTTAATGACGCCTGCTTTGGCCTCTTCCAAGGTTTTTCTCCTCATTCTATACATAGAATATATTTTTTCAACAATGAGGGAAGCCACTCGGTGCTGAAGTTCTTTCTTAAGACGGTCAAACTTAGTCGAAAGGTTATCCCGCTCAAATCTAGCGGCCTGGAGGCCGACATTAAGGTTGCGGATAGTGGAGTTAAAAACTTTATTATGCTCTATGAGTCTCTTATGCCTCTCTTCCAACTGGGCATACTTCTCCTCAGCAGCATCAACTTCTTCATCTTTGGAGTTCAAGGCTGCCTCCAAATTATTCAGTCTTTCAGTAGAGGCAGCCTCGCGATCGGTAGCAGCAAAAACACCATTTTGGACCTCAACCCACTTTGCCTTAGCTTCTTTAAATTGTACCCTTAACGGGGCGGACTCTTGGCTAAGGGTCACTACCTTTTGCTCACTTTGCTACAACCGAGCCTCCAACTTAACGGCCTCAGCAGCTTGTGCTTCCAGTTTTGGGAGGCGGGCAACAATTTGATCCCGCTCGGCCAATAATTGATCTCGCTCAGAGGTGATTTTCTCCTTGTCAAGGATCAACCTCTGAAGGCCCTCAGAAGCAAGGAAGTTAGCCTACAAAACAGAAGTACAAATTAAATCCTGCCATAATAAAGATAGAAGGAAGAAAGATCGTAGCGTCGTTGCATTGTGCATGACATTGTTTACCATTCTCTCTCGAGAGAGATTGTATTATATTCCTATCCTTCTCTAAAGCCAGAGGCTTCAAATAATTAGCAATTTCCACTGGCCGGGACAATAGATGGTATCCGGTAGAAACCGAGAGGGAAACACTCCTCCTCCTCTAGGCTCTTCGGAGGAGGTAGAATAATTATGCCCAAAATTCCTGTGAACTGGAGAAGAGGGATATCCTCCTCTCGAATGACTACAGCCGGTGGAGACTATATCGCAATTGATGGTGGCGAAGGCAAAGTTGGCGAAGATGGACATGAAGCTGATAGCTTTGTAGGTTGACACGAAACTATAGCAAAAGCATTGCTAGTTGTTTGTTGCTCATCAACCAAAGATGGAAATGACCTGGTACCCACCCTCACGATACCGGGAACGGTGACTGGGACTCTGAAGCGAGAGTTAGCATCTTCAACTACAACATATTCCCTCTAAAGCACCGGGACGTCGTCCTCGGTTGCGTAACTAGATCAAAAGATTCAACATTTTGTTGAGATGATGAAAGTCGTCGTCTTCTATGTAGAGAAGCCCCCTCATCACTGGTTCCTCCATCATCATCGGTTACCATAGTGTCTATGGCTGGCTCGGAGACGACGCTTATCACCATAGTATCCGCGGCTGGCTCAGGTGCAACGCTCTTCGCCTTTTTATTTTTGCCTTAGTCGTAAAGGAACATCGCCTTTTTTGTTGCTTGTTCTACGTACGGGGAATCCGAGAAAAAGCACTTGCACCGGAAGCAAGCTTGATGACAAGCAATAAAAAAGGCGACCTTCAACTAAAAAATTGCCAATGACAAGCACCACAATATCAGCAACCTCGTCGCATCACCAAGATCAGCCAAAACGTCCTCCTCAGGGATGGTAGCAGAGCCCTGAGGAAGACCTGAATTCAACAGGAAAGAAAAGTTAGCCAATTTTCCTATACGAAAAGAAAAAACAAGATAAGTTCAACCAACCATGATTTTTGGCCTTCTACCCGTATTTAAGGGCTAGTTCTTTACACTTGCGGGTGTCAGGCGTAGTGACTGTTGATACCAAAAAATTTTCTCATATATTTTAACATGCATATATATTTTCAAAATTATGCACATGCATTTACAAACATGCACAAGCATTTCTATAATTTGTTTCATAATTTTAAAGGCTTTCAACCAATTTATTTATGCATTTTTACTATTCAAACATCCAATAATTATACCTCATATTATTTTTATGATGATTTAATCTTATAAATTCATCATTTATGCCCAAATAGTGCTTAAATATTTTAATTACATTTTTTATAATTACATTTGTATTTTTAAGCTAGAATTGCATATTTTGCAATAATAGCCCATATACATGCATAATTATATTATCTATACAGAAAATGGATTTTTATATTTATATAATACTTGGTAAATATTTTAAATCATTTTTATGTACAAATAATATTTTTGTTATTTATTAATTATTTTTATAAATTATTTTTATTGATTTAATTGGGTATTTAAAATCTAGCATTTTTCCAATTAATTTCGGACCTAGACTAACCCAATTTACCTAGCCCAATTACCCTAACCCAAACCCATTAACCCAGTCCCCATACCCATTTTAAAATCGACCCATCTCCTTCTTTAAATCACAGCCATTGATCTCTGAAAATCAACGACTCACATCCCTTCACCCCTTTTAGTTATATCCCTCCACCCTAACCCTAACCCCATTTTATCTGTTTCGCCGCCTTCAAACGCTCTCGTTTCTCCCTCACCTCTCAAACCCTAACCTGCCGTCACTAATCTCCTAACAATTCCTATACGGAAATAGAATCATTCTTTGATTCCTTACCATATTTGGCCTTACCTCTTCACCAGCTACTCCTTTTTGATATTATTTGACTAGGTTGCCTCAAATGGCAAGTTAATCTCGAGAGATGCGGACTAGATCTGGTTCAAAATCTCTTATGTTGTGGTTGTTTCCTTATGTGTTCATCATAACCTCTGTGAGTACGAATATGTTTTCCTATCCTTCAGTTATGGTCTCATGTTTTGATTCGGACTAGATCTGGTTCGATTCTGTTTGTTTTATGCTATTCTCCACCTATATTTTGCTCTATTACTCACAAATCCGTCCATTTTTAGTTGAATCTTCTACTTATCCTAAAATTAGGGTTCAAGATCTTTCAAGATCTAAAATGATTTTTCTTCCTTTGTATTTTTTTCTTTAAAGTTTCAGTATATCTGCCTCTGTGTTCATATTTTCTTTACTATTTATTATTGATTCTGTTTACCCTAAAATTTAGGGTTTTTGATTTCTTAAAAACGACTAAATCTATGTATTTCCAACTCTATTATAGTTTCCCCTTTTGTTTTCTACGCTGATTTTAGTTACCCTAAAATCTAGGGTTTTGATTTTTCGAACAAATATGGTTCAAACCTTAA